TTCCAATGCTGGGAGGATACATGGAGGCAGGCAAGTGAGGTGAGTCTGTGCCCCGTTCCCCTCACAGATAATTCTCTGTAACGCTCACTGCCTGTCAGCTTATTTATTAGCAGGCTGTATCCGTATTTATGCCAAATCAACGCTGTAGCAACAGCTCGAGAATTGATTTCTTCTATTTGAGGTGAAACCACTTTAGTTGGGAGGCCCAGAGCAAAATCTGAATGTTTGCTAAAAAGACCCTGCTTGGCCCAAAGATTCCAGAGACTTTTCCCAAAGGCTGGAGCCCCTCAGGTGAACAATGGTCTTCAAAGCTCAAGTGTGTGAAGGAGACCCTGTATGCCGCCACACGTACCATTGCAGTAATGTCCCTGGGGCAGCCTCCTTCCCTCCAATTCCTAAATGAAGAAAGTGAGGCACAGAAATGCTGAGAAACTCACCCCGGCCCCATAACTAACTCAGGTTGTTGTAGACTATTAGAACAATAGAGAACATAGACGCATACTGTTCTTCTAAATATATGCACTTCCCTGAGCCCAGTGACTATGGGCAGGTTTTTTATTCCCCAAAGAAAATTTGCTGCGTTTTTAGAACCACATCATAAAAAGAATTGTCATAAAGCGGGGCCTTTTCTCCCTCAGGAGTAATACGAGAAATTCAGTTTGGGTTCCTGACCAATGAGTAGGCATCCAGTAAGACATAAATTCAACTAACACTGTGTTGTAAATATAAATGCACAGTAACTATAAATGTCTCCATAATCAGCTGAAATGCAAACCCTAAATGATCATGCAAAATTATGTCACAAGTCCTAGAAGTTGGGAATAAATATCACATGCATATTCGTCATGGGAGAAACCCCACCATATTATAAATAATGGAGATGTTCGGTGTGCAAAAAATATAACTCTCCCGTATCATGAACTTGACTTTAAAGTAATAAATTGCTATAGCAGAATTAGAGCATTGCAGAGGAAGGAGGGACCTTAAATGTATTTATTATTCATTCCAGTTCCCACAACAGCCCTAACAGGGTCTTCCAGGGATGGGGAGCACTCTACCTACTTGGCATCCCATTCTACTCTAGGTTAAACATCCCTGTGACTGTTTCCCATTCATCTTATGATTTCTCAGAAAGGGAGGGACACAGTGCTCTAAGAAGGGCAGAGCCAGCAGGCCCTGGAGAAGGACCTGCTTTGTGACCCCAGGCAAGTTACGTAATCTCTATGAACCTCAATTTCCTCATCTGTTGAATGGGAATTAATAACAGTACCTAGGTACTATAGGATAAGCACTGGACTGCTAACCACAAGGTTGACAGTTCAAATCCATCAGCTGCTCCTCGGAAGGCCTATACAGATTTGCTGTGAGTTGACAAGCTATAGATAACATTGCAAAGAATGGATATTCCAGAACTTAACTGTGCTCATGAGGAACCTATACTATACACAGGCCAAGAAGCAGTCCTTTGAACAGAACAAGGGAACACTGAATGGTTTTAAATCAGGAAAGATGTGCGCCAGGGTTGTATTCTTTCACCATATTTATTCAATCTGTGTGCTGAGCAAATAATCTGAAAAACTGAATTATATGAAGAAGAACGTGGCATCAGGATTGGAAGAAGACTAACAACCTGCGATATACAGATGACACAACTGTGCGTGATGAAAGCAAAGAGGGCTTACTTACAGATGAAGACTGACCGACTGACTGATGAAAATCAAAGACTACAGCCTTCAGTATGGATTGGACCTCAACAGAAAGAAAACAAAAGCATAGATTATGGTGTTTGATTCTCAAAACAATGTATGAGATAGTTGTTGTTAAGTTCTTAAATCCTCACAACTGGACCAAAAAATAACATCATGATAAATAGAAAAAAGATTGAAGTTGTCAAAGACTTCATTTTGCTTAGGCCCACAATCAGCATCCATGGAAGCAGCAGTCAAGAAATCAAACAACATATAGCACTGGGCCTCTTTAAAGTGTTCAACAGTAAAGATGTCAGTTTGAGGACTAAGGTGAGCCTGACCCAAGCCATGGTATTTTCAATAACCTTATATGCATGTGAAAGTTGAATAATGAATAAGGAAGACCCTAGAAGAACTGATGCATTTGAGCTATGGTGTTGGAAAAAAATAATGAAAGTACCATAGACAGCCAGAAGAACAAGCAAATGTTTTCAAAAGAAGTACAGTTGGATTGCTTCTTAGAAGCAAGATTGAAGAGGCTTCATCTCTCATAGGACTTTATCAGGCGGGGCAAATCTCTGGAGAAGGGCATTACGCTTGGTAAAGTGTTGTTGTGAAGTGCCATCGAGTCTGTTCCAACCCATAGCGACTCTGTATGGGGTTTCTGAGGAGCAGCTGGTGGGTTTGAACCAATGATCTTATGGTTCAATCTGACCTAGTGGTCTAGCGCATTATCCTGCAGTGCCACATCCTACACTGGTAAGTGTTTGTTTAGTGCCAATGAGTCAGTTAAAGTATAGGGTGAGCAAAAAAGAGGAAGACCCCCAACAAGATGGATTGGCAAAGTGGCAGCAGCAATGGACTCAAGTGTAGCCCAGGACTGCACAGCGTTTCATTCTCTGTGAGTCAGAACCGACTCAACAGCACCTAACAACAACAACAACAATGGGGGCTCCTGGGTATAGTTATTGTCTTCATTATACAGATGAGGAAAATGAGGCCCAGGGGCTCTAGGAAGAGGGGAGTGTGGGAGGAGGGGAGGCAGAGTCAAGGGGCAGCCAGGGGCAACAATTGTGAGGATGGTGAAGGGCCAGACAATATTTTGTTGTGTTGTGCATGGAGTCGCTATGAGTCAGAACCGACTCAACAGCACCTAACAACAACATGAGCTGAACCAACTTGAGAGCTCTTAACAACAACCACCTCACACACACATCAAACACCAGAATCCATGTCAGCTATTAGTATTTTTGTGAATACTCAGTCTCTCTCTCATGTGTCTTGGAGCCATTGTATCTGAGGGGTTTTTTTGTTTTGTTTTAAACTCAAGTGCAGCACCTTCTCAGCTACTTGGAACCACTTCTTCATTCTATTAAGACATCTTGGGATTCTCACCATCACCCAATAAAGGAGCCTATAATCAGAGGAGTTCGACATCCAACAGGTATTAAAACAGCATTTGAACCTTTGAATTAAAAGAAAAAAAAAGTGGAAGAGATAACATCAAGTGGTCAAAGTGCTAGATGGGTTACCGTCCAGTGGTACCCTAACTACCCAGTTACCACCGAGTCAATTCTGACTCACAGCAAGCCCATGTGTGTCAGAGTCAGACTCACTCCATAGAATTTTCAACATAGATTTTTCAGAAGATCACCAGGCCTTTCTTCCAAGGCTCCTCTGGTTAGACTGGACCTCCAACTTTTCAATTAGCAGCCGAAGACATTAAAGATTTCCACCACTCACACCAATGTTGGCTTCTCCTTTCAACAGTAAAATAAATCAATCAACTCACTGCCATCAAGTCAATTCCAGCTCGTAGCAACCCTACAGGGCACAGTAGAACTGCCCGATAAGTTTCTTAAGCTGTAAATCTTTACAGAAGCAGCCTTGTGGTTTGAACCACCAACCTTTCAGTAAAGCCGCCAAGCATTTAACCACCACACCACCAGGACATCTTTCTTCCAATAGTGTTGTTGCTGCTAAGCGCTGCTGAGTGGGTTCCACCTCATAACGAGTCTGTATAGGGTTTTCCAGGAGGGGTTTGAACCGCCGACCTAGCAGTTCGCAAGCCAGTGCTCATCCTACAGAGCCACACCAGGAGTCCCAATAGTCCAAGACTTTCAGTCTGTTGTTATCCCTACAGTTTATTTGTATCAAAGAATTCCAGCCTGTGAGTGCACTCACTCTTTCCTCACATGGCCTTAACTCTTCCAACGCCCCAAAGTCACCAGCCCCTAGGAGGTCCCGAGACACTTCCCACAGGAGCCAGTCAAGTGGGCAGCAGCCATCAGTTTTGACTTTTCTTGTGGACTCACTGTCAACTCCCAGAACCCCCTGGCTACTGTCTTAGGTCCCCCTCACCTCCCTCCACAAGGGATTTGTCGTTGGTGTTGTTGTTAAGTACCATTGAGGCAGTTCCAACCCATAGCGACCCTATATAGGGTTTCCAAGGAGTGACTGGTGAGCTTCAACTGCCAACCTTGCACCTCAAACTGACTTTGCAGTCCAGCACAATAGCCCGTAGCACCAGGACACTCCCTCTAGTCTATGCTTCTCCCCCTTGTCCCAGATCACCTAGAAGGCTGGCCTTGGTCCCACTGACACCTCACCACCAGCGCCCCCTCAGGGCTGACCCACAGTGGCTGTTAAATGAATCCAGGCCCAAATAAAGGCCTGACGGCCCTGAAGTAGCCTGAGCACCCCTGTCCTGGTGACTCTCAGTATTTTGGGTTCTGACCCAGACCTTGCCTACAGCTCATGACTTTCCTGGGGTTTGGAAGTGACTCTAAACACAACGCTTAAACATGTAACCCACCACCATTCCACTCTCCCTCTCAAGGGCTCCTGAAAATGCCTAAGCAACCATATGGAGTCCTGGACTGCAAAACCGACTTGAGCCAAAAGGTCAGCGGTTCAAGCTCACCAGCCGCTCCTTGAAAACCCTATACTGAGTCGCTATGAGTCGGAACCAGCTCAATGGCACTTGTAGGAAAAGCAGTGGACTGCTAACCACAAAGTTGGCAGTTCAACATCACCAGTTGTTCCTTAGAAACCCTATACAGGGTTGCTATGAGTCAGAACTGACTCGATGGCACTTAACAACAAGCAATTGAATGGGTGTTTCCACATTCATCCCTTGTTGTTGTTGAAGTGCCATCGAGTCGGTTCCGACCCATAGCGACCCTGTACAGGGTTTCCAAGGGTGTAAATCTTTACGGGAGTAGAAAGCCTCATCTTTCTCCCGCGGAGCGGCTGGTAGTTTGACATTCTGAGTCCTAGCGACCCTTGTCAAGTCTCACTAGTGGCCACTAGATGGCGACATCGCGCATCATATACTTTCCTAAAGAGCAGCTTCGAGAACCCAGCCTCTTGAACCCCTTATTCCTGCCAAGGGCCACCATGTGTTTCGTGAGTGACCCCAGCCCCTCTGAAAGGCAAAAGGAAAATTCTCCACAAAAAGGCCTGATAGAGCCTGTTCTCAGTTGAAGAAACCTCAGAGGACAGCAGGTACTCATACATGGATTCAGAAGGGAAGTACAAGAACACCCCCAACAGCTGAAGACTGACTCCTCACAGACTAAAGAGGTTCAAGGAACCCCTAGTTCCCTGCTCAAGTAGGTTGACTTCCCAGAGAGAGGCATTCCCACAGTATTGATTGCCTCCACGCTTCTCTGTCCCTGCCATTCCCCTACCTCGGCTCACATGGCTACCCATCCTGGGGCCCTGCGCCTTCTTCCACTACTCTCCTTTTCTGTTGTTGTGTTTGGTCTCCGCTGGGCTTAATGATGGAGGTGCAGGTGGAAGGAGGTGGGCTTTGGAGTATACAAAGCATTTTGAGATGTGTTTCTCATGGGCCCCTCCCAGGCTAGGTGAGAAGCGTCCCATCATGTCACAGATGAGAAAGGAAGACCAGAAGTGCTGACTAGTAGGCAGTAGCAGACCAGAACACAGGGCTCCTAGCTCACAGCCTTTGACCCTAGAGGACGGCTCATCAGACCTGTGCGTAAAGTAAGTGTCAACAGACTGCCAAGCCCCCACGAGAAGGGAGCTGTAGCACAGGGACTGGGGAGGGTGTATATTTGGGTGGGTCAGAGCCTCTTGTTTTCCTCCTGATTCTCAGAGGCTTGGTGGGTAGGTGAGCCTGGGGTACCCCCAACAACCCCACCAGCCTGAGTGATGGGTTCCAGTCAATCTGCCTTGGGTTCTCCTTGGGCAATCTTGTTCCCTCAGCCAGTTCAGATTCTTCTCCACTAGCTGGACTTTACCCAGAAAGCCCACCTCAAGCCAAGGGGGCAATGTGTGCTGAGGGGCCTGGCCACAGGTGGTCTCTGAGTAGAGAATCCAAGAAACTAGAGCCCAGGGACCCAGACAAAGGGGAGGCAGCCATTCTGGGCTCACCTGGTGTTGTTGGTCCTGCAGCCGCAGTGCTGAGCCCAGGGCTAATGCTGGAGCCCATGTGTTTGCCCCATTGAGAGCAAGACAGAGTGGCTCCTGACCCACCTTCCTGCCCCACAGATGGCCAAGGCTCTCACCCATTGTTCCCTAGGACACTTTAACAGGATGCAAGGAATGTGGGGCCTGGAGACAGGAAGCCCCGGCTTCCTCAGGCTCAGGGCCAGGCTCTTGCCAGACTCCTGCCCTACAGACAGGGAGGGGGACCTTGGGGGTGCTGGCCACTAGGTGAAACTGGGGACAAACGATCCCTTTGGTCCTGGTTACTCTCCCCCAATCCTTCCTGTACCCGTAAGCACTACACACACAGTCACATCCATGGGTGACTTTCATGTCTTGAATACGTCATGTGTTCTTACACACACATTGCCACACCCAGGCTCTCCCCCTCACATGTGCCCCACCATCAATCTCTCTGTAACATCACTGTCCTGGCCAACATGGACTAGAAAACAGAGACAGTTCCATACACTTTAAGTTCAGCTTCCCAGTCACGCCATTCAGCATTCCCAAGAGGAAGGTATTGTAATCACCCCCATTTTACACAAGGAGAAACTAAGGCACCGAGGGTTACATGGCATGTCTGGGATCAGCTGGATTGTAAGTGGCGAAGGCAGGATGTGCCCCAGCATGTAACCACAGGACCCCCCTCTTAACCCCACACCTGCCCCTCCTCGGGTCCCTCCAGCCCTGCAGGGCTCAGTCCTCAGCCCCGTGGCCCCGGGGCCTTCCCAGGATGCTGGGAGAGGAAGGTGAGGAACATCTGGACAAGTGCTCAGCCGACTCCCTCCCTCCCTCCCAGGGCCCTGCGCATTGTTCTCACTGTCCGGGAATTCAGTCCCGTCTCAACCTAGGTCCTTCCTGCCCTCAGCTCCTCGGCCTGCCACCTCCAAGGCAATGTCCTTAGCGATGGTGGCCCGTGGATCCCCAGCCTGTGGCCTCCCTCCAGCCTGACCACAGCCCACTTGATAAACATTTGTTGTGACTGTCACTGTTTCAACAGGCCTGCAAAGTATGAACTGATAACACATTTCACAGGTAAGAAAAGAGGCTCAAGAGAGGTTAAATCAGCTGCCCCAAGTCACACAGCCAGCGATGGACCACAGTAGGATCTGAACCTGGGTCTGCCAACTTCCAAGCCTGGCCCTCCCCAAGGAGAGCTCTGTCCCCAGTCAGCTTGTGTCCTGGTACAGACGGGCTGGGTATCCATCCTCTGCACACACACACACACACACACACACACACACACACACACATACATACACATAGAGTCCACATTGTTGCTTCCTCCTCCAGCTGCTAATCAGGTCTTGCAGACCATCCCGTTTCCTGCTGGCCTCAAACTGGCCTGCTCTGCTCCTGGCACTTCCTGACCGTGTGCCCTCCCTTACATCCCTTACCTCCTTGGCCTCCAGAGGAGTTGGGGCAGGGGCTATGCAGGACCAGAAATCCGGCCTGGGATCTCCAGTGGTCCTGAGGGAGCACTAGCCTTCCCTCATGGACTACCTCAGCCACAGTGACCAGGTCCCCTGCCCCCAGGGCCCTGGGGCATGAACCTGACTGGCCATGCCCTCACTAACAGCTGACAGCCAAGGGCTGGGTCAACTTCCCCACAGACCGGGAGAAGAAAGAGAATGGACAGAGGGTGGCAAGCAAGGCCTATCCCCATGTGCCACCAGCAGAGTGTGAGGCCCAGCAGGAAGCGACACTGAGCACCCAGGACCTCAGGTAATGGTGAATAGAGTAGTGGTTTATCCTGGTTCTCTGTGACCATGCCGGCTCCAGGCGGGAAAAGGCAGAGTTGGTTAACCCTGCTGATGGAAGCACTGAACTGATGTTTGTTTATTCCTTCAGCTATACCTGGATGTGCTGCATCCACTCAACCCCTGCTGTTCAAAGGTCCCATTCTCTCTCCAGCATCATCCAACTTCCTGTGGCTGGATACTCCCGCAACACACAAACACGCCACCATGACCATCCACTTACAGACCAAGTCATGTCAAACTGTCCCATGTCTCTGTGCCCTTGCCCTGAAAGACTTGGGAAGGAGTTATCATCTCTACGGCCTCAGGCCCCACACTCACTCACTCTTTCCATTCAGACTGCTCTGGTCAAAGTCAGTATGGCCTCTTCCAAAGCCAGTGGTGGAGGTTCAGCCCTCCACTGGCCAGAGCTGACCACGATCACTGTTCTCACTCGGACCCCATGGCCCGGCCCTCTCCTGTTTTCCTTCCTTCCTCACATAGTAGATTCAACAGATCTACTGTGTGAGGGCTGGAGGCCTCTCTGACCACCCACTCAACCACTGCTATGGCCTCAGGGGGCAGCCTTTAGCTAGTGGCTTCCAAAATTCACACTAGGCTGGCTCAGGCACAACTGGATGCCCTCACGTGTATGTCTAAAGGGCATCTCAAATCTGACATGACCAAACACAGAAATCTTATCTGCCCTGCTCCCCCCGACACACACACACAAAATCTATCCCTCTACCCCATTCTCCACCTCCCAGGCCTTCCCTTTCCAGGGTCTCTGTTTGCTGGATACAGGCCTACCTCATTTTACTGTGTTTCTCAGATATTGTGCTTTTTACAAATTGAAGATTTGTGGCAACCCTGAATTGAACAAGTATGTCATCATTGTTCCTCCACCAGTGTGTGCTCAATTCATGCCTCTGCTGTATGTTTAGTAGAATCCAGAACAGTGTAAGCATAACTTTCATATGAACTGGGAAACCAAAAAGTTCATAAGACTCACTTTATTATGTTGATCTAGAACCAAACCTGCCATATCTCCAAGGTACACCTACAATGGGCTTCCCAACCATTCATCCACGGAAAATCAGGGGCAACAGACTAAAGGACAGATTCCCAGGCTCTGCACTGGGAGATTCCAAATTTGTTGATCTGGGAGGGACCGCAGGTAGCTGCAGATTTTGTTGTTTTGTGTTTTTCCATTGAGGCATTTCATTTGTTTGCAGGTATTGCATCCATACAAAAGAATCCCAGGATTTCCGACCCTGTGTATTTCCGTCTTGCTTCACCAAGGTCCATGATGCCAGTTGACGTCAGTATATTGGAACCAAAGGACATGACTTCTGTCACTTTTCTAGCTGAGGTGCACATCAAATCCAGGGTGGCTCACCTGTTTCCCCTGCCTACAAGATTTTTCCTGTGATCATTCATAACTTCAAATTCACCTCACATCTGGTTCAGAGACCAGACACTTAAGAACCTGGCATTTGCCTCTCTCCTCACTCAGGGCGTTCATGCTCACCATGACAGCAACACGGAAAGATGGCAGAAAGCGCCATCTCTGGTTTTCTAATGCTCCTCAGGTGATGCCCATGAAAAAGCCCTAATAGCAAGTGGTCACGAATTGGGGTGCTAACTGTAAAGTCAGCAGTTCAAATCAACCAGTCACTCCGTGGGAGAAAGAGGAGGCTTCCTGCTCCCATAAAGATTTACAACCTCGGAAACCCTATACAGGGTCACTAGGAGTAGGAACTGACTCTACGGCACATGACCACCACCAGGTGACTTTCTGAGGACCAGACGCTGAGCACCCTCTCCGGCCTCTTGACTCTCATGGTTCTGGCCCCACCTTTCATTTATCTTCCAAGCCCTTCATTTACTCTTGTGTGGTTGAGGCTATGATCGTCCCCACTTTACAGATGTGGAAAATGAGGCTCAGGCAGACCACCTAGATCCCTGTCCATATTCAGAAACCCAACCAACCCCCAGAACGAGATGGAACCCACCCCACACCCACAAGAATGGCTGTTTCCCATCTCTCCTCCCTCTCCGTGCTCTCTGTCCACCCATTCCTGAGGTCTCTGAAGCTTCCCATTGTCTGTCAGCATGCCCCAAGAGCCCCAAAGTGACACAGGGCCACAAGGGCCAATCAGACCCAGGTTAGATTGCTGACTTTGCTACTTGAAGGGAATTGTTCTTGTTGTGTGCCATCGAGTAGATTCCAACTATAAGCAATCCCTTTGACAGGGTGAACTGCCCCATAGTGTTGTTCTTGACAGTAATCCTTACAGAAGCTGATCTTTCTTCCACAAAAACCACTAGAAGGTGAGAATCATCAATGTTTGGTTAGCAACGGAGCACTTAACCAGGGCTCCTTTGCTAGGTGAATCAATGCCTTCAACTTTCTGAATCTCAGTGTCCTGGGCAGTTAAATGGGGATAATAGCATCTTCATTCACCCTTACAGTGAGGATGACAGAAAATGGCACAGCCCAGGGGCCCCCATGGATCAGGCCCTCAGAGGTACCAGGCTAAAGGGCTCCAGGCTGAGTTCTGGAGTCGGGGGTCCGAGTTCAGCTTTCCAGGCTGGGTCCAGAACTAGACCTCCATGCGGATGTCCCAGCTGAGTGAGGCAGCCGCCCACCATGGGACCTGCCTATCTACAGCCAGTCCAGCCCCCACAAAGGAACAAAAACAGGAAACCATCCTGGGGGAAAGTGGGCCGGGGCCAGCTGGAAGACCTGAAGGGGTGGTGGCCAGGCCTCCCTTGCTTACTGACTGGGTGTGGCTCCCCTCTCCCCGCAGAGGCAGTGGGCCGAACTGCCTGGAGCTCCACACCACACTTAGCCCTGGACAGAAGGCCTGACGGAACAGAGGAGACCCTCAGCCCCCAGGCACGGTGAGCAAAGGTCCCCACACCCCAAGATGGAAGGGCCCTCGATTTCCCCATCTATAGAATGGACGCTTCAGGTTCCTGGAGGGCAGCCTGGGCCTCAGCCTGCTCAGAGCAGGTGGAGAAGGACACAAACAGCGGCTCTTGGGCACAGTGAGAAGGTAAGGGCTCAGCTCTCCCACAAATAGACTTTCGAGCTCAGTATGAACCCAGAGAGGGCAAGATTCTTCCTGAGTTGCCCAGCGCACCAGAGGCAGAGAATACTCCCTCGGCACCTCTTCCTCCATTTAAGGGACTCACGGAAGCCTGAGACCAGCCCCAGGCCCAGCTCAATTCTGTGTTGGGATGGAGGGAAATGAGACCAGAAAGCAGAGGATTAAGCCTCAGCCCCCCTCCATCACCCAAAGTTTCCCACTTTCAGGGTAGGCATGCTGAGGCTGATCCTCCTATGGAATTCCTGCCTCTCCCTGCCCCATGGGGGCTATGTGCCACAGAGCTTTGGTCAGGAAAAGAAGGCCCAATCTCCCCCCGCCAGCACCCAGACATTGGCAGCCCCCTGGCTGACTTTGAGGGCAGGTGGTGTGGGATAGAACTCGGTTGGGAGCCATCATCCTGGATTCAAATCTCTTATTCGTTCCCTGTGTGATCTTGGGAAAGTATCTATCAATGGAAACCTGACTTTGCTTGGCTGAATGAAAGGGACAGCAGCTATTTTTGCTGTTAATTGAGAGCTGGAGATAGGCCCCTAACAGGTTCTCAGACAATGGGGCTCCTTCTTTGACTGTGACCAACAGCATGAGGTGGAGATGACCTTTCTCTGCTTCACAGTTACGAGAACTGAGATTTGAAGGGATTTTGTAAAAGCTAGTGTGGGGGTCAGAACCAGAACTGTCTACCCCAAAGCCCAAGCCCCAGGGACTTCTGATCTTGGTCTTCTTGTCTGTGGAATGGAGGAAGCAGTCTTCTTGTGGGTCCTTTAAGGGAGGAGCTTGGTGTGTTCACATCAGGTACCAGGAATAGCTCCAAGCACGGGGTCCTTGAGGAACACGGCTGATTTACTTGCTACCCCAGGGCTGACCTGTGAAGCTCATGAGGGTTTAGGTCAGGGACCCCTGCAGGTGAGAGGGAGCTGGGGAAGTGAGAGGATGCTGAGTCAGCTATAGCTTCAGGGAACACTGCCAGACACCTGAGCAGAGGTGGGAGGGCAGGACCTCTATCCCATGTGGTGGCAGACAGGATTCTGAGGATCTGGGTGGGCTGGTGGGCCGGAGGGTTCTTACCTCAGGGGCAGCAGGTGGGCAGGAGGGCTGGGATTGCCAGCACAGAGGCTTTGCTCCCACTTAAGGCATGGGAAGCCTTGTCCAGCCCACCGGCAGCAGATGACCTGAGGGTCCAAGGAGCTGCTGAGTCCCCAGGAGCTGGGACAGTCTACTGGCCTGGAAGGGGTTAAACTGCCTGCCTGCAATTGTGCTCCTGAACAAGGGCCGGACATGAAGGCAGGAAACCAGAGGGGCCACACAATGACTCACAGCTCTGCTGCTGCCTTGGAGACACGCAGTGGCACAGTGGGCACCCGCCCCGGAAAACTCTCAGACCCCTCACCTGCATAAACCCACCCCTACTATACCCAGCACCTCTCTACAGTCCCTAGGCAGTCCTAGAGATACAACAGGAATTCCCATTTGACAGAGGAACAACTGAGGCCAAGAGTAGCCAGTCCAAGGTCTCCTGGCCAGAATGATGTGGAAGCAGTAGGCGAGTAAGGTCCAGTCCGTCCTTCCCACTCAGCTCACAGTGAAGCTCTGAGAGAAGGCAGCAGGAGAGGTGACCCTGACAGTGTAGGCCTCAGGCACAGGGTCAGCCAGGAGTCTGAAGCTCCTGAGGAGGGAATGTTCTAGCAGACAGGCCCTGCACTCCGGAGCCCAGCTTCTGGCTCGAGTTGTTGTTAGGTGCTGCCCAGTCAGTTCTGACTCATAGGCTTTCCAAGACTGAAAATCTTTACTGGAGCAGAAAGTCTCATCTATTTCCTGTGGTGAGGCTGGTAGGTTTGAACATCCAATCTTGTGGTTAACAGCCCAGAGCTTCTCTGACAGAGCCACCAACGCTCCTTCTGTCTGTGGGTGGACATTGTTAAGACCTGTCCTGACTCAGGTCCAAGCTCATGCTGAGGGTGAAATCACTGAAGGCTTCCTGGAGGAATAGCAGGAGTCCCTGGGTTCTCTGAGCCTTAGTCTTCCCATCTCTGTAGGGCAACTGTACCTAAGACCATTCAGAGCCACTAGACTGTCTGGGGCCTCCTTCTTGTTTTGAGGTGCTGTCATATTCAATTCTGACTCATATCAACCCTATGTAGTGTTTCCGAGGAGCAGCTGGTGGGTTTGAACTGCTGACTTTGTGGTTTACAGCCCAGTGCTACCAGCAGACCCAGCAGGTGCAAATACTAGGAAGAGGAGGAAGCAGGCCCATGGGAGGGCAGAGGGCAGGCCAGTCAGGCAGGCGGTGAATGAGATTTCCTTGTGGAAGGAATGGAGGGGAGAAGGTGGGCCCAGGGCAGAACCAGGAAACGTGCTGCATGTGAGTCGTCCAGTGGAGCTCCCAGCTTCCGGACTGCAGAGGGTAGGGATATGGAGGGAGGGGGAACACACCCACACACATACTAAGGACCTACTGCAGGCCTGGCTTCCCACCCGTGATCTCCATACATCCTCAGATGTCATTACAGACGGAGCATCCAGGGCTCAGAAAAGGCAAGGGATGAACCCACAGTCTAATGAGTAATGAAGCTAATAAGTAAGCAGATCTGCTGTCCCCTTCACCACACACACACACACACACACACATACCCCACCATCCTGTAGAAAGCATAGCAGCCAAGTAGGCTCCTCAGCACAGACTCAAAGTTAGGAAGCCCCAGAGGAGGCTGGGATAGACTCTCTCTCCTTGAGGCAGGGAAACAGACTGGATGACCCCCTGGATCCAGAGATGCCCAGCTCAAATTTGTTTCAAACTACAGGTGGATTGATAGTGTTGGCCTCAAAGGCAGTACTGAGAAAGATTCAGGAACTGAGCTCAAGTCCAGTGGGGACAAACACTGTGACTGATGTCTGCCACAGGTGAGACAGGGTGACTGGTAACCCATGAGCTCTGTTTGGCCAGCCTTCCCTTCAAAGATTCCCTGCATAGGGGTACATGCATGTTCACTGAGAGCCCTAAAGAAAGATCATCTCATTGCTCCCAATAGGTCCCAATACAAACGGCAATGTGTCCTATAACACGATGGGCCATTAGAGGAACTTCTGTGAGTTAGAATGACTGGACCTCCTCTGACCCTCCAAAGCTAATATACAGATGTATGCTTAAATCAGGCGAGAGGCAGTGGCAAAACCAGAACTCGAGACCCAGCCAGGCTTGACAGGCAAGTTGGGGCCTGGAGTTTATGCAGCTGGCTGCTGGGACAGAGTAGAGATCTGACCAAGACCCAGCTGTCCTGGGGGACGCACCAAGCAGAAAGAAGGCAGAGCCTGTGCTGGGGCCAGAGTTGGTCAGAAGACCTCATAGAGAAGGTATCCTAGGAAGGGAAAAGAAGTAAACATCTTCCCAGAGTCCCTGGTGCAAATGGTTAGGTGCTCAATTTCTAACCTGGTGGCACTCTGGAATAACCAGCCTGCTGATCTACTCTGAAGACCACAGCCACTGAAACTCCTCTGGGACATAGTTTATTCAGAAACACCCAGGGCATACAACCAGGAAGGGTGCTCCAAAGAGAAGGAACCACCTGTGCAAAAAGCTCTTAAGAGGAGAATCACTCTGCACTCCAGAAAGTTCTCTCTTTCCTGGAGACTGGAAGGGGCAAGGATATAGGGGAGAGTGGGACTGTGCTGGGCCCTGAATGCCAGCTCAGGAGGTGCGCTTCACTCCAGACTTGGGAGCCAGGGAGGAGTGGTCAACAGGGGGCAGTCCTAAGAGGAATCCACATGGGGAGGCTGCTGGCAGAAGTCTCAGGAGAGGAGCGGAGGCCTGGAGCCCTCAGGAGCACGGCCCAGGGCCCAACCAACCAGGAGAAAATACCAAGGGGTGCTCACACTACTCAACCACACCCCCAACACCCCCATCCTCTGCCTGCCAGGGCCTCACCCTTCATCTGTCCAGGTCTCTGTCTGCCAAGACCCCTGTCATCAATTTAGAGCTCATGGCAGACCATTTCTCTAAAGCAGTCCTGGTGTGGCGCTGTGGATTAATGCTCTGGACTGCAAAGTCAGTTTGAAGTGCAAGGTCAGCAGTTCAGGCTCACCAGCGGCTCCTTGGAAACCCTATACAGGATCACTGTGGGTCAGAACTGACTCAACAGCACTTAACGACAACAACAACAACATAGCAGTCCTGGTGGGGCGCTGTAGGATAAAGACTGGACTGCTAACCACGAGTCAGAGATTCAAGCAAACCAGTCACTCCTCAAAAATCCTATACAGGGTTGCTATGAGTTAGAACTGGCTAGACAGCACGTAACAACAACAAAGAGTTTAGGGATAACTGGAGCCAGCCCTCGGACTGAACTGAAGCTGAGCTTGTGGGGGTGGGTGGCCAGTGGGGAGAACCGCCCAGAGCCACCCAAGAAGCTGGACCAAAGCTTGTGCTGCACCCACCTGCAGGTTCCCCTCCTGTGTGCTCTGAGCCATCCGCTCCTCCCACCAACCGCCCCTCATCCTGACCTGAGGCCTCTGGGCTGGAGTCCAGAGCCAGCAGGAGGATGGGCTGGGACAGAGCATTCTGTCCAGGCACCCTCTGAGGCTTTTCCTGAAGGACGGCTCATCTGCCAGATCTCAGCTCAAGGTTGGTGCTGGGCAGTGAAGGACTGAGGGAGCAAGCCTGAGAAGGCGACTCGGTGGGAGTTGGCATGGGTCTGTCGAGAGGTGTGTGCTCATGGAAGCCTGTTGAAAGGAAAGTGTCTGTGTGGTCTGAGGAGATGGTATTCCTGATCTAGAAACTTCCTCTGTACTTTTCAGGGGCCTTCAACCTGTTCAACAACACTTAGAATTTATATTTGACCCTGAAGCCCAGGGGCTGAGCAGGGCTCTGGTTGAGCCAAGTAGGAGTAGCTCAGCGGTCAGGACATGGGTCAGGCTTCCTAGGGTCTACTAACTACAAAGCCAGGGGTTCCTCAAAAGAAGCAGCTCTCGGCTCCCTCCACTTTATTTCCCCTCTAGGTTCCCAGCCTCTCCTCCGAACACTGACATCCAGAGGGACAGAGCCGAGCAGATCTTTCAGTCCTTCAAGATCAAAAGCCAGAAACAGATTTTGTGGTTGTTGTTAAGTAACGTTGAGTGGGTTCTGACTCATAGCGACCCCGTATAGGGTTCCCAAGGAGCGGCTGGTGAGTTTGAACTGCCGACCTTGCAGTTAGCAGTCCAGTGCAGATTGTTGTTGTTATTAGGTGCCGCTGAGTTGGTACTGACTCATAGCGACCCTGCGCACAACAAAACGAAACACTGCCCAGCCCTGAGCCAAGCTAACAATCATTATTACTATGCCAGAGCCCATTGCTGCTGCCACTGGGCCAATCTAGCTTCTTGGG